AGATCATGACACTGGATGTGTTAGACTGCCTTTTAGGTATGTGAATGTACTTAGCTTTTATTTTGTTTTAGTCTTATATTGGTTTTGGTTTTTGTATTATATTGAGTTTTCTTTTTAAAAGTGGTAAATAATCATAATAATATATTACCACTCCTACTGCCACCACCAATAGGAACCTGCTGGAGCCCAGACCTGGAGGTAGTAGCATTGGTGTCTGTGCACAATCACAAGAAAACCAACCTTTTTCATGAGATTTCGAGTCGTTTAATCCTCCCATACACCATCAGACAGAAATGCTGCACAATAAGGTTTCGTCATTTGTAAACTTTTACTTACATTGTGCAGTTTCTTCCAGCTAGATTTGTGAGCCTTTTTTGTTCGCTTTTCCAGCATGGGCTTCTGTTTACTTGAGCTTTGAAAGAATGGTTTTGTGTGAATATCTGCATTATGTAATGTGGCAGCTGTGGGTGGGTTGCTGGCAATGAGCAACGAATGCTAGACCTCTGGACCTAACATCAGAAGCCTTTTCTTCCTTGAGAATAAAAAACAAGCCCTATGGCAAATTTACAAAGCACACTCTCTGACCCAGATTTCAGATGTACATAGTTCCCCATAGCTAATAACATGGAGCAACATTACCACTCTATAAATACTCCTATTACGCACACAAAAACTATTTGCATTAAAGGATCTTGCAGTTGCCCCCATAGATAGAATGAACGCCATTTATTACACTTTGTACACTTATTGCAAATATTTGCTTATATCACATCTCTTAATGCCCTCAGAAATTCCGTAAATAGCAGCAATTAAACATCACATCACTGACCCATTAACTTGGAAGCACAGAAATGGGATTCCATTGATTTCTGTTCAACTGCTTGTAAGAAAATGTATTCAGGATCACAACCCAAGATTGCCATTTTGTTATCCTATACCTGATGTTTAACTTTCCTTATACTGATTAAAAACAACTTGCTTCTAGCGTAATACAAGGCCACTAAACTATGGAAATCCCTGGTTCTGACCAAACATGGATTCAGACAATTCAATTTCCCCCCACCACATAGTGACTGCCCACCAGGTGTGTTGGGTTCTGCCCAACATGGTGGATGCCCAGTGTGCCATGCATGACATCGCTAGCTGGGAGAAGCCACAGCACACCCTCCAAAAGGCCTGCTGGAGACCACTGCCGCGGCAGGAGAGCCCACCAGAGCCCATCGCAGCAGCAGGAGGGCCCGATGGAGCCCGTCTGGCTGTGGAATATTGACGTGGCCCAGCCCCCTCATTTAAAATTTTGTGGGTGCCTGGGCCACTACTGAGTTACAGGTGGCAAACCAGAAAAAAATGCTTTCTCCCTTGTGGTATCTTGCCTTAAGATTTCTGGATGGCTACGCATTTTGCATGTTTAGGGGGCTGACAAAAACCATTCTTTTTAGGAGAGTTTTGTTATCTGATTGTTTAGTGGTGCTGATACTATTTATAGTATTTTTGAGGTGATCTCATTCTTTTTTAAAATTACACTGTATTTTAAAAATATAATGCATGATTAGTCATGGTTTGATCTTGCTATAAGGTGTTTTAGGAGTAATGTTTGGCTGAGAAGAAAGGTAAAAATGTAAGCAACACAAGTCAGTGTGATGCAGCAGTTAGAGATTTGGCCTAGCTCCTGGGAGACCAAGCTTCAAATCCCCACTCAGCCATGAAAGTAACTGGGTGATATTTGGCCAGGCATAGTCTCTTAGCCAAATCTGCCTTACAGGTTGTTGTAAGGATAAAAGGGAGATGGGGAGACCCACGTACCCCACATTGAACTATTTGGATGAAAGGTGGGATATAAATGTAATAATAATAATAATAATAATAATAATAATAATAATAATAATAATAAAAACATCACACTCAATTTTCCTCCTCTCCTCCAGGTGCACAGTGTTTTTGCATTGCATGACTACCAGCCGCCAACATTCAACTTCTGAAGTAAATATGTTTTCTCTATTTTCCATGAATGTTACATTTTATTTGCTTATGTAACAACGTTGTTCTGAATCACTAAGCAATGACGGAGACAACACGATGTATACACTAAAAATAATGAAAATGTTATGACTTGATGGGTTTGTCAGCTCATCTGTTTGTTCTCTACATCTGTTATCACTCTCATTCTGGCAAGTAAGCTTTCCTTGACCCAGTACCTGAACAACTGTATGAATAGAGTATTCGTTAGTGGTTTGCTGGAAGCATAGAGATGACCAGGAGGCAAAATCACTACTTTGCATTCCTCCTATACCAAATGAATTAATGCAAATACATGCTAGCTGTTAAAAGTGGTGAACAGCCAAAGCATTGCCAATAGAATTTGTCACTTAACTGATTGTCAGCTTTTCTATGGCATATGCCAGGTGGACCTTTTTGAGTCTACGGATCCCTTGACCAACTAATTTTTTTCTGTGGTCCCTGTGGCACCCAGGAGCCCAGGTATATCACCCCTTGCCTGCAGCTGGCGGCCTCTTGCTTTTTTTTCAAATACCCTCCCTTGTGGAGTGGTCCCTCAGCCTCATCTCCTCTCCCCATCCTTGGGAGTCTTCCGGGCAGCTGCTGCCCCCCCCCCCCGGTCTCTGAGTTGCCCCCATCCTGCCCCAAAGAGAGGTGCCTCCTCACACTGTCCCACAGGGGCCCAGGACTTGTCTGTCCATTCCCAACAGCAAGGGCCGGTGGACTGGCTAGCTGGACTCCCTTGCCTGCTTGCTTGCTTACTCTGAGGCTGCCTCAGCTCCTGGCAACCAGCACCCCCTGACCAGCCCGAGGCAGCATTTGCCTCGGGAGCTTGTAGCCAGGGCTGCTGCAACAAACAGCTGTGCAAGTCTTTGGGAGGCAGAGATGCCAGAGGGCATCAGAGGAGGGAAGGAAGGAAAGAGGGACAGAGGACAGTGTTGCCCGTGGCACCCCTGACCACAATTCAAGGCATCCCAGGGTGCCATGGCACCCTGGTTGGAAACCACTGGAATATGCACAATATTTGTGGTAGTTAGAATTTTGTAAACAACCACTTCAAGATCTTCAGCTAGGAAGATATATTGTCCACAGTTAGCATAGTGGGCATTAAGCATGTTGTTTAGTTGTTATTTGTGTCCGACTCTTCGTGACCCCATGGACCAGAGCACGCCAGGCACTCCTGTCTTCCACCGCCTCCCGCAGTTTGGTCAAACTCATGCTGGTAGCTTCGAGAACACTATCCAACCATCTTGTCCTCTGTTGTCCCCTTCTCCTTGTGCCTTCCATCTTTCCCAACATCAGGGTCTTTTCCAGGGAGTCTTCTCTTCTCATGAGGTGGCCAAAGTATTGTAGCGTCAGCTTCACGATCTGTCCTTCCAGTGAGTGCATTAAGCATAGTGGGTATTAAAACACAAGATAAGTTCTTCTGTGGTACTTAAATGTTATTTAATCATTCGTGATTCTCATTACACAGAACAATAGAAGCAGTAATCTCAGCTTGCATTTTTGATATGGTGTAAGCAGCTCTTTGGGCAGGGATACTGCAGCTGATAATTGGTTATGATAATGGGTCTGATATGGTCTCTTGCAAATATAGTCTGTCACGCAACCTATGAAGATGGGAATACAAAGGAATTCAGGAGACTAACTTCCCAAAAGGACCCATTCCTACATATCTCCAGGGCCACACCCAATGCAGCTGTTCCATGTAGTGGATAGTGGAGAAAATTGTTTCACAGGAATGTTTCATCCCCCCAGTTTGCTCAGAAATGATTAGATCTATCAGAAATACGTAGAAATCTAGCCTCAGATCTCATTTTTGAACAAGTTACATGGATAAAACATTCACAAGGAAAAAAAATTCACAAGTATGCCTCGTGGGAGTTATTCAAGCCGACATCCTGTGGATGCAAAATGTTCTGGAAGAGTTTGCTGGCCCGTAACTGTTCAGGAGAGTAAGCAAGAAAGGACTTTGTCAATGTCACATGAGAGATCTGTGACTGGATTTCCTGACATTTTTGTTTTTATCTTAAAGCCGTCATGGGGGAAGAAGCAGTGACTGGAGAAGTGAGCCTAGGGGGAGGGGTGGTTAACTCTTTCTCCTCCATTATTCTCCTGATGCAGCCCTCCCCGCCAGCTGCTGTTAACTCTGGAGGATAACAGGACTGAGCTCTGAATCAAATTACTTTTTGCATTATCTGTACAGGTTGCTGTTGTTTACTGTACTTGTACCTAACATTGGACTATTTATGCACACCAAAACTATTTTAATTGGTCCAGAAATTTCTGATGAACTGAGAAGTTGTTTTCACATCCTTACTAGCATCATGGGCAGAGGATTTGAAAATCCTGAATGTTTTCTTTCTGCATTTGGCTATTGATGCTGAAATGTGTTCTAGGTTGTAGGGAAACCTATCTCTGAAAGGCTTTTGAAGAAGGAATGCCACCAGACCCCATGAAAGTTGCCCAGTTTATTAGACTTGCTGTGTAATAAAATGCACCCTTTGTTTCCATCCTTCTGGCTACATGAGATGCATGCCCTCTTTGCAATGCTTGCTTTTTAAAAGGGTTTCTAGCATGCAATTTGGACCTGACCCTTTCGGTTTCTTTTCTAACGCTCAGGCTTCCTTCTGAGAAAGTGCCTTCAAGCATATGCAGAGTATCTTCCCCCCCCCAAAATGGAGTTGGGAAACTTGAGGGTGTGCTGTAGTGAAGAAAGGCTTCAGCCCCACCACCTCTTCCTTTAAATAAAAAGAAGCCAGGTGCTGGGGAGAGAATAAAACAGGAGCTTAAAAGCATGAGGAAAGGAATTGTGCTGGTGGATGATCCACATCCCCCCTGCTTCCCAATACTTCTGGTGTGTAAGCAACAGCCTCCTCATGCGCCCCAAATAAAGCAGCCCCCTCCCTCCGTCCCTGCCCAGGCATATGCTAAGCGAGCGAGCAGCCGCAGTCACAGCAGCCCCAAATGGATTAAGTTATATAAGCCCTCCCCCTCCCCGCTTTTGGAGGGTGGGGTGGGGAGGGGGGAGTCGCCTCTCCCTTCGCCCCTCCTTCCCTCCCGCCATCCCCGCTTTCTGGCTTTGATTGTGGGCTGCTGTAACAGCTCAGGTTGGCTGCGGAGCGAGCGGATGGACGGCGGCGGCGGCGGCGGAGGCCTGGCGCAGGCCCAGGCCTAGGGCTGAGTAAAAGCTGCTTAGCCGTGCCGGGGTTGCCATGGTGACGGGCAGGAGGCAGCGGCGGCCGCAGCAGCAGCAGCAGCAGCAGCGAGGAGGCTGTCAGTGAGCGAGCGAGCGAGGGGAAAGGAACCAGGCATCGGCGGGGAGCTGCAGGAGGGGAAGGCAGCCGCCGCCGCCGCCATGGACGTGCACGGCGACTGTGCCGAGCTCAGCGCGGTGGGCGATCAGCCGCCGCCATCGGGCAAGCTCAACAAAACCGCCTTCAAATTGTTCAAGCGCAGGAAGTCCGGTGGCGCCATGCCCAGCATCTTCGGCGTGAGGAGCGGCGGCAAAGGCAAAGGCGGGGAAGCGGGCGGAGGGCAGCCGGGCATGGTGAGGAGCAAGACCCACGACGGGCTGGCCGAGGTGGTGCTCGAAGGCGGCAAGAAGGAGGAACCGGGAGGAGGCGGCGGCGGAGGGGACGACCAGTTTGGCGGCGGCGGCGGAGCCCCTAAGGATTATTCCCCCTGCTCGGCGGCGAGCAAGTCCCACCGCTTCTTCTCTCTGCTGCGCAAAAACGGCCGCTCGGGCGAAGGCGGCAAAGGGGAGAGACCCAAAGGGCGCGGGGGGCTGAAGGGGCTCTTCAACAGCATGAGGTGGCACCGCAGGGACAAGCCCAGCAAGGAGGACGAGGCCGGAGACGGCGCCGAGGGACAGGCCAGCCACCTCAGGCCCGGCTCCCTCACGGCCAGCCTGGAGTGCATCAAAGAGGAGGCGCCACGACCCCCGGCGGCGGCGGCGACTGCTGCAGCAGCCCCCCAGACCCCCTCTGGGGTGGCCAGTGGGGACCAGGTGCTGCTGCTGGCCCACCCCAGCGCTGAGTCCGTGCCCACCCAAGAGCAGCAGGACGTCGGTGCCAGGGAGCCCACCCCACGTACCTCACCACCACTGGGAGCCGAGCCCCCTGGGATCCAGCCCCCGGCGCAGGAACGCTGCCCCGAGCCGCCCCCCGGAGATGGCGATGGCCCAGGGACCCAGGAGGACGGCGCCATAACAGGTGACATCCCCATCGAGCCTCCCCCCCCTGTTGAACCCGAGTGTGAACGCAGCCAAGAGGCGGCGGCAGCCCCTGACCCTTCCTCTCTTGATCCACCCTCTGAGCCGTCCATTGACCGTATTTGTTTGATGTTTGCTGACGTGACTTCACTGAAAAGCTTTGACTCTCTTACAGGCTGTGGGGACATTATTGCCGACCAGGAGGAGGACGTGGGCAGCGGCGGTGGCGCAGGTGGAAGCGACAAGAGCGCCCCTGGGGTTGGCAAAGCGGGGGCTTCCAAAAAGCCCCCCAGCGTGGTGACCTATCAAGGAGGAGGAGAAGAGATGGCCAGCCCTGAACAGGTGGGGGACACGTGCGCCCCAGAGTTCTGGGATGTGTTGTCGCAAGCGGAGAAGCCGCAGGAGACCCCAGGGGGAGGGAAAGAATCCCTCGAGGGCTCCAAAGGTGGCGGTTGTACCAAAAAGGTTCAGGATGCATCGACAACTGGGAAGCACATTGGTTCCAACCAGATTCCGGTTCACCACAGCCACAAGAATGACCAGAAGTGTAGGGAAAAGGAGCCACAGGAAGCCATCCCCAGCAGCGATGAAGGTTATTGGGATTCCACAACACCTGGGCCAGAGGAGGACAATGCCAACAGTATCCAGAAAGAGGTAATTCCCAGGGACAGCTACAGTGGGGATGCTCTCTATGATCTGTATGCTGATCCAGATGAAAACACAGCCACAGTTACTTCTGCAGAAGACGTCACCTCTGTGTCTTGTTGCAAGCCACTGTCTCCAGTAACAACAACATGCCCAGTCAAAACCCATACAACTTCACTCAAGGACTCCAAGATACCCATCAGTATCAAGCATTTTACGTCGCCACATGGCAGTCATGGTCCAGATACCAGTAATAGCCATCATCTTGCACACCACCAGCCTACCAAAAGTGAGATCCCTAGAACAAAAATCCCAGTTTCTAAAGTGCTTGTACACCGGGCAAGTTACCGGAGCCTAGCAGGGACAACAGGTAAAACAGCCACATATCATGAAAGTGCCAAAAAATAGAAGGAGATAAATATGGGTGTGTCAGTCTTGCAGAAACCTGCTAATAAGCAGTTTGGCATCATCTAAAGGAAGACACCTACATGTGCCCTTTCTGTGAACAAAAGGGATGTGTGCTTCTAAAGTCCATCTTGATATATAGTATATATATATAAATATAAAGTTAGATTCTTTTTGAGCACTTTTTTAACATTTGTATCTGTTTTTCTGAAGCACTAAACCACTCGGGAAGCCACTTTTCCATGTCTTTTGTGGAAGCAGGACTTTGATTAGGTATATAAAATATAATAATGCAAACTTGTGCCATGAATTCTTCAAAGAAGACACAAATTGGGAAAGAGAGGACCAAAAGAAGTTTTCCAGTATATATAATTTTACATTTGTTTGTTTTAAATGTTTTTAGCCTATACTGAGAAATGTTTGCTCTAACTGGGAAAATGTCAAGCAGAGTAATAGCAACAACCATAAAATCCCAGGTATTTAACCTGAGATAGAAAGAGCACTGTCAACCAGCAGCAGATTCAACTCACTTGTGAAAGGTAGATTAGCAAGTTAGATGGATTTCTATAAGATATATTTTTGTTTGTCTGTCTGTTTGCTTTGGATCTGTCCTAGTGTAAGTGGATAATGAAGACATCTAGTGAACTCTCAGTTGTTTACACCAATATTTTTCCAATGCACAAAATAATCAGGTTCAAGGGAATAACTTTCCTAAATGCCAATATAGAGACAACTACAACATTTATACAATAAATGGTTCTTCATATATAGATAGATGCATATGATACTCTTAGTGCTACAGCTTTTTTAAATTAAAATGTCTTTCTGTATTTACTAGAGTTGAAACAAAATTAGTTTTTATAGCTTGATAATTTTACAGTTCTAAATGTATGGACCTTCTTAAAAGTACAGTAACCAGAGCAAAATTTTATATTGGCTCTAACATCCAAGGATAGGCAAGTCTATTGTGTTAATCTTACAAGAGCATGCATAATACTGGAACCAAGGATCTAATGGTGTTTTCGCTGCAAACCCCTTATTTTCAGGACTTTCTAAAAAATAGAATTTCAGTTTAGTACTTGCAGAGCTAAAGCCTGAGGCTGCAAACCAATTTTTAAAATGTTTGTTTTCAAATGTTAATAAAATTAGCTTTTGGTATTTGCTGTGTGAAAGTTTGTATTTCACACACATACCAACTTTTAGACTTTAAGATTATTTTCCTTTAAGAAAGAGAAGAAAATTGGCGAATTGTTAGTCCATTAAATAGTTTTATCACCGTGGACAAAACAGACATGTCTGTTGCCACTGAATATAAGCAGTGCTGCTGAAAAGTGGCTGCTGTATTGACATCTTTTCAGTGAAGCAGCATCACATGATGTGCCTAAAGATTTATTTTCAAGATAGAAACAACCCCATTGTGGTCTAATATGACAGGGCTTAAACAAAAGTAAATTAATAAAGCAGAACACCACTAGGCAAAGAGCTTGTTTCAGAGGTCCTATTTATTTTTTAAGAAAGTAAAACTTACTTTAAAAAACGATATATATTTTGTGATGTAGAAAATTCTAAATTTCCTTCCGTAAATCAATTATAAGAGTTCGTTTAACCTCTCCTTTTTAAGTTCCCATAAGTAAATATTGGTTTACATAAGATACATTTGAATAAGAGCATTAAGGTTAATGAATAAAAGCTAGAACATATAATGGTTGTATTCTTGCCCACAGCTAGGCTGCTTATATCACATTGATTTTCAATTGCATTAATGTGGCCTATATCAGAACTGCCAAAAAAAAATCAAGAACCGGAATGTTTATTTACAAAGGTCAAACTCCCAAGGATGATTTTAGGCATGTGCAAGGGCTTGAGTAAGCCATGTGGGATTTCTCTCTTCTTTTTACTTTGATCAGCTGATCACCATATGTTGTCACAAACTGCTTTTTAAAGTATATTCAGTTTCATAAGTCATTTGCCACGTCACATGGAGGGTTGGGATGAGCAAGTGGACAAGAAACATAATTCCCAACTCCCCATCCCTTTGGGCATGTGACGCTGTGGTCCCAGTGGTCAACAATGAAGCAAAGTTTTGTGATCCTAAGGGGACTTCAGACATATGTTCCTAAACAGCAACCCACATGCCACATAGTAAACTGCTTTTGAGGGGGAGAGCAAGAGCTTGTTAAAGCAGTTTGTAATATGGCATGGGGATCAGCAGTTCATCATTAGGCTACAGCAAAGCCTTTCCATGAATTTAAACAGACCATTGGATCCCAGTCAATAATGTCTATTGCTTGCAACCATGCAGATACAGGCTATGGGCCACAGAAATCCCAGATAATAGTGGGGAAACTGCTTTTGCAAATTACATGTAACAAGGTTGGGGTGGGCCGTGTCTTCCATTATCCTAGAGGAGGGAGGCAATGGTCATAACCTAGCCTTTCACCCCTTATTTACTTGGTTGCTGTGTGCTAGACCCTGAAAGCTGAGTTCTAAGCATGCATAATTGGCATTAATTGGCAATAAGTAGTTCAGTGGTAATCAATGGGTCTCCCAAGTTTTTTAAAAAAACATGTTTAGAAGCAGAGTGCTAATGAACCCAGGTGGGTTTATTTTGTATACCTTCTCAGAATGTATTTGTGAGTGGTTGCCGGTGTGCAGCCGTTTACAAATTCATATTGTACATATGCATGTATATTCCTATGGATACACATACAATACATGCACACATTTCTGTAATATGCTGAAGGGCACATAATGTTCCATGCACAGACAAACAGACCAATGGTACAAGTAGCAAATGTTGCCAAATCGTTTTGACAGTTATTTAACTTTGCCTGAGAATGGGATTCACATTTGACCTGATTCTGCTTGAGTGCTTGTGTGTTTTTTGTAGATTTGGGATGGAGAATGATTGACTTACCCTTGTGCGTGTAGTCCCTCCCATTGAAGGCCCTGAGACTACATCAAATTACACAGACTGTCCCTTTGTGGCTGTAATACTCTGGAAGGAAAGAATCCAGGGACACAAAATTTTATTCCAAGCTGGATAATAAACAGCTATTCATTGTTTTACATCAGTGAAGATCATGCTGTTTCTGCATGCTTTTTATGCAAAACTATTATAGCATTTTGTTTAAAAGGGCAGTTGTGTAGAGAAGTGCTGCAGGGTGCTGAAAGTTGAGCTGGAAAGAGGATGTTGTAATATGCCGGAAGAGTTAGCTGCAGGTCAGAACAGTGGTGTATCTTTTAAAATCCAATGAAACAACGTTGCCATTTGGGAGTCCTTATCTCTCTTGCAATTTTTCACCATATGCATTTTGCTGATCTGTAGCCTGTTATGTATGAAGAAACAATAGAGTTAACCATAGATAAAATTCCCCTTCCATTTATGACTAAGATGTGCCATTAAAATTGCGTTGTCTTTCATTTTCTTGCTTTTTCATTTTACATCCAGTTGTTGCTTTTCTTTCAAAGGCTAGCAAGCACAGAAGGCATCACACATACAACCATTTTTGTCACAGTAAAATGGGAGCAGTGTAAATCACTCTCAGTATCTTCCAGGGATATTAGCAACACTTTTAACAATGATTGTGCATGACAGAGCAGTTTCCATTACCAACAGTGCTCACACAATTTTGCTGGTAAGGGAGTAGCACCAAGTACACATCTGACTAGCAATAATATCTTTTTTGTTAACACTCCAGTGATGTATGAATGATCACAGTTTTGTAATGTCAGTTTGGAGTGAAAACTACCTTGTTTACTATGCTGGAAGTCTATTCACTACAATCAACAAGAGTGTTGTTCTCCTAAAACACACGACTGTTTAGGTGAACTGTGGAGGGGATCAGAAAGATAATAACATTGTTTGCCCAGTTTGTAGTTACCAGTTGGTAGGACCCATTTTGGTAGCTGTTCATTTGTCTGCTAGTAGTATTTATAAGTTGATGACAATCATCCTGAAAAGGAGGAGGAGGAGAAGAGTGTTTGTTTGTTTTATCATAGTAAGGGGATTGGCTGATTTATGAATCAGGGCAAGGCTCTGTGGACATAGGGATGAGTCCACAATCTGAAGATGTGGTATAGTCTGCATGAATGTAGTGTCCGTAGGGCAAGTCTTGCAGACACTGCATTCATAGGGTGTTTGTGTGATTGCATACAGGTCATGTGAGAATGATCTTTATACATGTCTGTCTCAGAACTGCAAACTCATCAAACCATTGTCAGTGTTTCAACTCCAAGGCACTTTCAGTAGCCAGGAATATGTGGAACTCAATTCTTACATGATGCTTTGACCTGAAGAGAAGCAACGTAAGGTGCTTCCCACACTTCCAAAACATAGCCTGTGGAAGCACCACAATTGCACCAACGACATGTGAGTTAACTGTATCAGTGCTGACTTGGTGTGTGATGCTTCCTTATTTAACCAGCTCCAAGCCTTTCATTTTGTGCCTGCATTTTGCCCTGCCCTCATCAGCAGTGATACACTCAACCCACATGCTGCCATGAACCAGGGTCTTAAGAACTGACCCTTAATTATTCACAAAGCACCATTTTGTGCAGTGCAATCTGGTGTGTGGTGGCTCTGAAGGAAGTCCTGTTCAGTGGTCTTGCTTACAGGCGGATGTGCATCGAATTATAGACTTGAGTGGCTAATGATTTTGAAATCATTAATTCCACAGCTTACAAATTGCCACTAATTTTCACCATGATGATTTTATTTTTAATAAGAAGATTATATTTGTACACTAGAAAATAAACAGTGCCTAAGACAATGCACTGAAGAGGATGTTCAACAAACATGTGTTAGGTGTATTTCATTCCCTTCTGTGATCTGTAGAGCACTCTGGTGATTGAGAAAAATAGTGGAGTGCTGGAATTAAGGGAATGAACCATGTGCAAGTGGCCATGCTAGAGGCATTCTGTAGAGGTGTGCATTTTAATAACAGAAATTCATGTATTTCTACAGCCTTGATAGGCAGAAATGATCTTCCAGATCCCAAAGATGCTGTATTCTTTAATAATGATGCCATTATTATTTTTATTCTTCAAAGAAGGCTTTATTTGTTTAGATTTCTGCTTGGGATGATGCTTGTACAGTTGTTTCCCTGTACATAACATGAAAAGAGTATGCTACATCAGGTATTTGGTATTTTTTACTCTTTGCACTTATACCTTTGCACCTGGTACCTTTTACATGTTCTTAGAATATGTTATGTTATTATGTATACTTCCAGTATTTTCTGTGGCATATGTTTTTTAAACAGGAGCTTTCTTTTAATGGCATGGATTGCTCTGTGTGATCTTATTTTGCTCCCATAGATTGTAAAGAGGTGCCAGAGGTGTGGTCTGCATCTGAGACAAAGACTTGGTTCTCATCTCAGTGCACATGCATTGCTTCATTGGCAGGAGTCCACAATGCACTTATTCTGGAGCAATTCAATTGATTTGAGTAGCCTGGGATAAATGGTATGTGGATTCCAGCCATTAGCAGTCATAGGAATAAAGCACATGCAGTAGATTTAAGACAGGCCCTGTCTTGACAAAGCAAACACATGCTTACTGTTACTGAAGAATTGAATTGGTTGCCCGTTAAACCTCCTAGGTTAGCAATGAACAGAATTGGTTGGCTTCAGTTCATATGCTTCTCCTATGAAAATTCCTTCCTTGGTTAATTTTTAATGGCCTCTACTGAATTATTTATCTAGACTAAAATGATATTGCACCAAAGTCTTCAAAATGTCTGATTCTGAGGCCAGTCCGTCCCCCCTCCCCCCACAGCATAGTGCTTCACTATCCCAGAGAAATCAAATTGCCATGCTTTGCTTAGTGAAGCAAAACTGTTACTTGGTCTGCAAATTTATGGGACTGCCCAAGCTTAAAGGAAGCTGTTGATTTGGCTCCTCAGCTTTTCATCCTACTAAATGGCATGTTTTCAAAAAAGCACTCATTTTTTGTTTCAGTAAAGCTGTGGATGAGGCAGTTTGATTGTGCCATAAATTTAGATGCTAGACATTTATTTAACAGTAAAAATGTGTGTGTATGCACACATATGAATGAAATGGGGCGGTTAGCACATGCTGTTGGTATGAAATTATTGTATTTTTTTCTTTACTCTAGATGAGGAAAAATATACACTGATCCTATAAAGACTCCAAGAGAATTACGTATTGAGATATTTCACATAGGGCAGAGGAACAGTGTGTTCTGTGCCTATTTTTAAGGCAGAAATCACCCATTTGCTCATATATAACTATACTGACATTATTTATTACTATTTTGAGCTGGATATGAAATGGGTGCATTTTAAAATAATCTTGGGGTAGATATTGCTCATGTTATTGCCCTTGACTGCAATGGAAGATGGTACTGTAATCTGGGAACAAGAGTTGGTGATGTTGTGAAACCTGCGGTGAATTATTGGCATATTGCAATTTTGTACTAAACAACGGAGGATCCAAATTAGACATTGCACAGGAGTTGCAATTTTGTTACAAAAAAAGAAGAAAGGCCCAGTTTGGACTGGGGACACAGCCTGGGGAAGGCAGAGTGTAACTGTTCCGCCACTGCCTGTCCCCCAGAAACTGCTTGTAGCTGTGGAGGAGGAAACTTACAAGCTTCATTGCTTAAGCTGGTTAAGTCTTCCCCACCACAATAACAGCAGCTTTGGGGAAGGGAGAATTCAATGTGGGGATAAAGGGTTAGATCCCCCCACAGGCCCAATTCAGAGACCCCATCATGGCTGCTTTTCATAGAATTGAAAAGACATTGAGAGCTCCCGTCACAGATCTTCAACATGTTGAAACAGAAGTCAGCCTTTCAGAGAATCTCATCAAAGAGCTGGTCCAAACATCATGTGGCTTGGGTGCACACCTTATATGTTTCAAAAACACGTGTATCATGTAGGTACTGTCAGGACTGGCTATGGCTCGTTGTCAAGCGTGAACCTGAGTTAATCATTGAATCATGTTGAAGCCACCTTATGTTCCAACTCTGTAATGAGAGTTGTGAACTATCCACAGGCAGAACATTTAGAGGTGTTCTGGCCTATTTTCAGTGTAGGAGCTGTTAGGGCAAATCTGGATTGTATAGGGCTCCCTTCCTGGTAGACTTAAGTTGTTTCCAATCCTGTCTATTCTTCCTTTCTCCCTCCATTTCTGATTGACAAGTTTCATCCTGCACACAGCATTTTCGTAGAATCTTCTGGAGGTGATTGACTTGATTAGGCAGAGAAGCACTTTTTGTTCATAACTAATGTAGCTGAGAAGTGTGAAGGAACAAGGACAGAATGCTGGGAACACATGGAGTTCTGGTATAACATTTCACTCGCATGCATCACTGAACACTAGAAAAACCATATGGGAATCCCTATAAAACATGTCATCCATTTTCATCACTGGTGCCTACACTTCTCTTAATGCCATTTCCAACATGACATCAGTTATGGGATTGTGCCAGTCTGCTTTTTACATCCCTAGCTTGGTAGGGATAAATCCCACTGTTTTGAGTGGGATGGGCAAAGCCTAAACATATGCAAGAGCTTGTAACCTTATTGTCAAAATCTAGGTACCTCCATATGTGTCTGCCTATGAAATCCCTCCTAACCTGCTGAGTTTTTCTTCTATGGTCTGTCAGTGTTACTGGCTAATATTGTCTGCTCATATAGTGGAACAACTAGTTCTTCACACTTCCATCAGCACAAACTCCTCTTCTCTCTACACACTGTGAATTCTTCATGCAGACCTCGTTTCTCCTCCAATATCACATAGATTCTGCCTGTAGTTTTCATCTACACCCATTCCAGGGCCAGCGGAGCACATTTAACGTGCCTCCCTCTCACTGCTGCTGTGTATTTTCAAATTGCCTGCAGTGTAGACTCCATGCACATCCCTCTTGCTCCACAGCCAGCAGAGATTAGATCCTGTTTATCCATCATCCAATTTGTTTGCTGCCAGCAATGCTTTCTCCATGCCCATTCCCTTTCACCCAACCAGAAGTGCATTTTCCGGGGAGGGTGGGGGGAGGAATTCCCTCCCTCATCTTGCCAAATATGTGTTCTCTTTCCGCAGCCAGTGCATACTGCAGGCTATACATGCATTGTCTCTCCCTGTGCATGTCACACTGTATCAGCAGTGCATTTTCGATGAACATCCTTGTCAGTGCATTTTTATTAGAAGCCCACGTCATTCCACTACCTCATTGTTGGAATCATGCTCCTTTCTCAAAACAGCCTCAATTTATTCATCTTCAAGGAACATTGCATAGCTCATAAAAGGAAAAAAAAGCAGGATTTGCTAGACTATTATACTGTACTGTTGTTAGAGGATCAGTTTTGTTTAGGACGGGATGTCACTCTTCACTGCGAAAAGCAGTGGTGTTTGGTAGATAGTGCAGCTGGCTTGTGTTTGATTTATCTCAATGGTGTACAAAAGTGTACAAATTACAGTTGCTGTCAGGGAGTAAGGTGGAAATAATTTGTCTCTTAATAAGATAATTGTTCTGACTAAAACGAATGTAGTCAGAGCTTTGGGGCACATACTCGGTATCACTTAATACAAAATAGTTAGCAGCTTAAGCTTTTACATGCAACATCAAGGTAGTTTAATAATCGTAAATAGGTCCCTCCTCCTTTCACTACCTGTGCACGTGTGGCATAAATTTATAATCCAGGGACTGGTAGTTATGCTGGAGCAATTAATATCCAACAACAAAAAAAGCTTTTGGTTTTGAGTATGCGCCACTGAAGTTGAAATACAGGAACTTTCTGTCTTTTAATATGGCACCAGAGAAAATAGGTTTCCAAGGCAAATGATAAAACAATCTCTAAATACACACCTCCACTTATATTTAAAGATTTGTTTCACTGTTATACAGAATTCCACACGGTTTTGTATATTGTTGTGGTAATCTTTCTTTCTGATCTAAATGCAAATCGTGTCTTTCCGTTTTTGTTGTTGTTCCATTTTAGCAAGCAACCACTCCAGGACTTGACCCTGGTGTTCAGCATGTTCAATTTGAAGCTAACACAATCACTGCCATTTTTAATTTAGCTTGTGATAGGCAGAAACGGGATCCAATCCTTTCAAATAAGTCAATCCTTCGTGCTGTCTATTGCGTTACTCTGCCTGCCCTGATTTTGTGATTTGTTAACAAGTATGTTTTTTTCCTTCCTTTTAAACTTTTAATTCCAGGTCCACATAAAAATATTATTTAGCAAATTGATGATGTTGGTTTGAGACTGTAAGGACCACCATCATCAATATAGTATTGTTGTTGTTATTATTATTATTTTGATCTGTGTTGCATTAAAGAAATCACCATTGAAGTATTAACATAGTTCAGTCGTATTTTTTCCACACAAACACATTGAAGAAAAAAATATTTTATCTCCTTTAAATAAATAGCTGCCTTTACAGAAATGGTTACAACTCCAGACAAAGTTATAGTCTTAGAACATTCATTCTTAGCCACATCTGTCGCTTAAGCAGCCCTGAATCCTAGAGCAGGGGCGTCACAAGGGGGCTGGGGGGGTGCGGTCTGCCCAGGGTGTCATGCCTGGGGTGGGTGACAAAATCCCCTTGGGCGGATCAGCGTGGCGGTGCTTGCATCCCCGGCAGGCAGATTTTTGCAACTGGCGCGATCCTTGTCATGAAAATTCGCCCGCTGATCAGACAGATACGCCTGGCAATCAGCCTCCCGGCAGGCGGCGTTCACACCTCCCGGTGGGTGGTTTTATGGGATCGGCAGTCTGATCTTGGCGATCGGTGGGCGGCAACAACTTTGGAGTACCATCCCCCAAAAAGCTCAACAACTCTGGGCAATGTTCCCAAAAATTGCAATGTGCGGGGGAGTGACCCAAAAAAAATTTGCACCAGGTACCACCTGACCTTACTACGCCTCTGTCCTAGAGGCAATTATAATTGGGTGCAAGCAAGAGTTTATGAGGCAAATGTCTCTGTTGTTGAAATCACAGATGTTTCCCCTGATTCAGCAAGTGATATTCATGCATGGAAGGACCTTCCTGCAGCTACAGTGGTGCCTCGCAAGACGAAATTAATTCGTTCCGCAAGTCTCTTCGTCTTGCGAGTTTTTCGTCTTGCGATGCACGGTTTCCCATAGGAATGCATTGAAAATCCATTAATGCGTTCCTAGGGAAACCGCCTTCAGACCAGGTCCGGGGACAGTCTGTCCCCCGACCTCTTCTGAAGGCTGGGGGGGGGCGAAAGTCTTTGCTCCCCCCCGCCTGCATTAAAAAGCCCTCCGGGACAGCTCTCCCGGGAAGGCAGGCAGGGGGGAGCAAAGACTTTTGCCCCCCGCCGGCCTTCAGAAGAGGACCAGGAACTCTTCTGAAGGCTGGCGGGGGGTGAAAGTCTTTGCTCCCCCCCTGCCTTCAAAAGCTGTCTGCCCAGGCTTCGCGGACCTCTCCGCAAGCAACGGCAGCGCTGCCACTGCTTGCGTAGAGATGCCGGCATGCCGAAGCCTGGGCGCGCCGAGATCAGCGCGCCCAGGCTTCGCGGACCTCTCCGCAAGCAACGGCAGCGCTGCCGCTGCTTGCGTAGAGATGCCGGCATCCCGAAGCCTGGGCGCGCCGAGATCAGCGCGCCCAGGCTTCGCGGACCTCTCCGCAAGCAACGGCAGCGCTGCCGCTGCTTGCGTAGAGATGCCGGCATCCCGAAGCCTGGGCGCGCCGAGATCAGCGCGCCCAGGCTTCGCGGACCTCTCCGCAAGCAACGGCAGCGCTGCCGCTGCTTGCGTAGAGATGCCGGCATCCCGAAGCCTGGGCGCGCCGAGATCAGCGCGCCCAGGCTTCGCGGACCTCTCCGCAAGCAACGGCAGCGCTGCCGCTGCTTGCGTAGAGATGCCGGCATGCCGAAGCCTGGGCGCGCCGAGATCAGCGCGCCCAGGCTTCGCGGCCCCGCCGCCCGGCATCGGGGCATGGTCCGGGGCTTTTAAATTGCCCCGGAACAGCGGAGAAGTCCCCCGCTGTCCCGGGGCTTTTTAAAATGCTGGCGGGCGACAGCGGAGGCTTCGCTCCCACCCGCCAGCATTTTAAGATCGCCCCGGACAGCGGAGAAGTCCCCCGCTGTCCCGGGGCTTTTTAAAATGCTGGCGGGCGACAGCGGAGGCGCTTCCCCGCTGTCCCGGAGATTTCCCTTTGGGCTTTCGTCTTGCGAAGCAAGCCCATAGGGAACTTCGTCTTGCGAAGCGCCTCCAAAACGGAAAACCCTTTCGTCTAGCGGGTTTTCCGTCTTGCGAGGCGTTCGTCTTGCGGGGTACCACTGTATAGCTAATGTTGATGTCGATCTGGCTGTGCATCTGCACTGTCCAAGACTCTTTGAATTTCCTGGGTGTGTAACCATCAGGTATTACTCTGTGCACATGAGAGTCCCCTGAATTGAAAAGTAAAGCATTGTCACACCATAAACGGGGCAGTAGAATCTGTCGTTTTATATATCACCAAGATCTCATTAAAAAACCTACTTCAGCCTGCTAAAACTATGACTAAGACTACCATAAAATGCAACACAAAATAAGGCTGCCATTAGAGGTAGCAATTTATTTTTGCCAGTGAATGGGGTGAGAGAAGTAAGAGACGAGTTTGATTCAAAATGAATCTCCTAATGACAATAACCTCTCAGTGCACCAAAACTCCATTTATAGAAGGTGCTAACAACCTGAAGGGAAAAGTACCTTAGAGACTTTAACTTGCCTTCCAAAAAGCTGCAGTAGGCTTGATTCAAGCTGACTGAGATGGATTTGTATTGTTATAAAATATTGATTTGGTGTCTTGCGCTCAGCACATTGTAACTGACAGTTCATTTTTACCTACAAGAATCCCCCCTATCTTCTTTTTTTTTTTTTTGTTATCCAGTGTGATAGTATGTGGCTTATTTAATATATGAAGAAGTACCATATATTTCAAAAGTGCGAGGTATGTGGTTTATAAGATATCCTTAAGCTATTCAAACATTGTGCATAATTCTATTCCTGATCTATTAGTGTTTACTTATGAACTATTCTAATGGCATACATTATATTTTGGTGTTTATATCATATTACAAGCTAAATCATTGGGTGCATGTTTTGGGGTGCCATGTGAGATTGAGGCCCCGGAAAAAGAAATTTTGGGGGGCAATACTGTGGTGCCCCAAATGGCCGCCATGCTCTCCTGTGCAAAAACGGAATGTCCCTGTGCCATGCCATGAGAAACAGAAAGAAAAATGGAAGATATATCACAATGCTGAGATTCTATCACAAGCCCGGGAAACCAAATGGAGAACACCACCTGCAATACTAGAAAAGTCAACTTCCAAAATTCCACAGAAGCAATTGGATTTGCATGTGCGAAACTGTTTAAGTTGAGAGTCCACAGTTGCTACTTGTACAAAAATACTGATGGTAGTGTTCGCCTAAGTGCAAATACGAAATCTGTCGAGCATCATTTATAGGCAACGTGAGTTGCTCTCAATGAAACTAATACAGTAGCAAAGGTTATTTAATACTCCACTTTCCCCTTAAAGAGCGCAGGTTAGTTTATGTTTGTTGCCCAGTGATCCACTCAGGCAGTTTACAGGATTTTCAGATTAGTAGATTGTATTATAGTAGTTAACGTTTGGAAATAACGTGGCCATAAATAATAATATTTCATTTCCATTTCTATCCACCTTCTCAAGATACATCCATCACATAGCTAATGTGCTTCTGCTCTGGTGCTCCATGTGTCCTCTGATGGAGACTTCTGAAAGCAGGTTTCCTTGTCCAGTTCACTGTCAGGAATAGCTCCACAGACACATTGCTTCGCATGTGCTGAGCTGTCCCTCCACTGAAAAGCCACAGGCTTTTCCCCATGGAAATAGCAAAGTAGCTGCAGCAAAATTGGATGTTGAATCTTTCAGGCAGCTGCGTACCTCTGTTCCCTTCGAGGCACTCAATATTTCATTTGCATTATCACCAGGTTTGCTTCAACAATGGTTTGCATTCACTACTAGCTGCTTTTTAAAAAAAATTATGAAGAATTTCTCCCCCCACTTCCTTTGTATAAAATAGGCAGAGCCAGCTTGCGTGGTTAAGTACAGATTGTCTGTCTTAGATCCACAAGGTGCAAAATGCACTTTAGCCAACATAAAACAAATGGTTTTGCAGATAAAAGGCGGTGTTGGTGCAGTAAATGCAGAAAGGTGAATGTCAACTCCCTGCTTCCAGAAGAACTGTGATTTCAATATGAACCCTTCCATTTCTGCATCAGTTCAAGTGACTTCAGTGTTGGCACTATTTATAGAATACTGCTTTCCAGTTCTATTAGCATATTTCCCCCCTCTAAGGATCTATGTGACTAACCCAAGCAAAAGACTCGCCTGCTTGAGTCTGTACAAAAAGGTCTGTGTGAAACCAGCCATTCTTGAGAGGAGTTTTATAGCTCACTGGAAACAACTGCCAGCTTCCAACGTGACAAGAGTAAATCTCAAGAGTATGCCTGTGAGTTTCTACAAATATAATGGGGGAAGAGTTTCACTAGTACTGCTTAGTTAAATAGTGCTATGGACCAACCTGGGGGCCCTGCAAACACCCTTTTCATAGTGCATTCCTGATGCTTTGTGCTTATGATGGTATAGGGGTGGTTATACACAGTCGCACTATTTGTGCCAGCAAAAGTTTCAGGGTGCACATCCTGCTTTGTTTTCAATCACTACATGCCCTGTAGCTTCCTTCTTAAGTCCTGTAACTTTTCTTTTCAGAAACATTCCAGGGGAGGGGTGGTGGTTTGCCCTGCTTTTGTTGAGCTATAGTGCAAGAGTGCCCCGCCAGATTTCAAAAATGCAATAACAAAGTAGTTATTATTGCAGAGCAACTAATAAAATGGAATGAGGTGTGGATGGTTCAGTATACATCCACCACTAATGCACTATTATTGCATCATTGACATGGTGCAAAATAGACTCAGGACTCAGCTATACAGCTGCAAATAAAACAGTTTAAGCGCATTGTAAAGTGCATTATACAAATGCGACACTAGATGGCGATGGTGAGCTGTGTCAAATTCAATATATTTTTTCAAAACTTTTTTTTAAAAAAGCATTTTTAATATGTATTTAGATTCCATCTCAGAGCCTGAGCCTCTGTAGACTGTCATCCCCATGTGCCAGTGCTTGATCTGGCTCCTTGCACTCAAGTCCCCCTTACCAGGTTTTTAGGATGGTGTACTGCAAAGGGACGCGGGTGGCGCTGTGGGTTTAAACCACAGAGCCTAGGACTTGCCGATCAGAAGGTCAGCAGTTCGAATCCCTGCAACAGGGTGAGCTCCCATTGTTCAGTCCTAGCTCCTGCCAA